GCAGAATAAATCGATGTGTATATATATATATATATACACAGCGTGTAAGATTATAGGCCCCTATCGTCTTATATCAGTTAATCTCCTCGTTGCAGATATAGCACATAAGATCTATTATTGTTATAATAGGGTTTCAAAAAATAAAATATTTAGTGTTCACAAAGACAAGACAAATATTGCTTCCTTCTCTTTTAAACAAATTGTGGCTCTGAAAAGAGCCTTTTGGTTTGAAATAACTGATGACAGCTTATGCACGTTCACCGCGGATACGGCGGGCCAGTTGGATGTCTTTAGGCATAATAGTTACACGTTTAGCGTGGATAGCACACAAGTTGGTATCTTCGAAAAGACCGACCAAGTAAGCTTCGCTAGCCTCTTGAAGAGCCATGACTGCAGAACTCTGGAATCGGAGATCGGTTTTGAAATCTTGGGCGATTTCTCGGACTAGACGTTGGAATGGGAGCTTGCGGATGAGAAGCTCAGTACTCTTTTGGTATCGACGGATCTCACGAAGAGCGACAGTTCCAGGCCTGTAGCGATGAGGTTTCTTGACACCACCGGTGGCTGGTGCACTTTTTCGTGCTGCCTTGGTGGCAAGTTGTTTTCGGGGAGCTTTTCCTCCGGTAGATTTACGGGCAGTTTGCTTTGTACGAGCCATTTCTGTTTTTAATTTGAATTGATGCTTAGCTTCGAAAATGTCATGTGCTTATATATTAAGCCGGTTTTAGAAAAACCAACGTGATTGGTCAAATAGGTGCTTAAGAACACGTCCGTAAAGTATGGCGCGTTCTTTCCTAAAAGGCTTTATTGATTCAGAGTAAATAGCCTTGTCAATTTGAAGTGACCTTTATTCTAATTGTTCTTTGTTTGGAATTTCAAATGGTGATATACATACTGTACTTATATATGTAATCTATATAGGGTATATATATATATATATATATTAATCTATATAGGGTGTATATGTACGTAGTGTGTAAAGTGATGTATAAGTATAGGTGTGTATGTATAATATGTATATGAATGCATATACAGTATATATGTATGTATATGTACTGTACATGTATTTGTGTGTACATATTGTATAAGTTTTCAGTTTAGATGCAAATTGGTTGTTTTTTTTTTGCTCTATATTTGTTTTTTGTTTTATTCTGTTTACTTTCACTTTGGATGTTCGTTTCGATTAATTAATTAATTTAACCACTACTTTAAGTTTTATAACTGTGTACTCTTTTATACATGCACTTTGGTTGATCATTTCTTTTAGTAGTTAAGCATTTCCTAAAGTTCTACACTACAGATAAATACTCTACGTTTTTGGGGTGGTTAGACGCACTTCACATCAGTGTGCCACTGTTAAAAAGTGTAGCTTTCGAATAAATTAGCTATAATTATAATTTAGCTATTGTAGAGTGTTGAAGCACAGTTGTAAATTCCTGTTATAGAAGTAGGCCTAATATTTGGGTATCGCGAAATTTTGGGTTATCACTATCATTAAACTAGTTTTTAACACAATGAACTGAGTTTTTATTATTAAAACAACATTTGTATGCGAAAATATAAACGGTAGTCTATTTTTCTATTATATTTATATTCATATTTCATAAATTAAAGTGTAATACAATTCTCCCTCTTGTGGATAAAAAATAATTAAACTAGTTTTCCAAAATGAACTGAGTTTATATTAATAAAACAATATTTTAATGTGACAATATTGCTTTAGTCTATTTTTCTAGTGTATATATTAATGTTTTAAAAATTAAAGTACTGTCACGCCAAGATTGGTCCGGGGGACCGATTTTGGCCACTAAAATTTGTCAGGAGGACCGATTTTGGTCGACCAAAATCAGTCCTTTATTGAATAGGAAAGAGGCTCTTTGGGTTAATATATGGGAGAACAGAAAAGGTCTACGTGCTAACGTAATAAAGACCTGGGTATCATTAATGACTACACCTTCCCCCATGCTGATTCTGCTAATTAATTATGCTTCATCTTAGTATCCGACTCTATACCTTTATTTACTTATATCTATTCACACATTTATCTCATGTTTATATACATATAGTTCATTTCTATATATATTTTTTTATATATTTTCATTCGATAATTATATCTATGCTTTTTGTACCCTGTTATCATAATACATTTTTCATATTTCGTATTTTAT